GTTTATGTCTTAAAATATGTGTTTGCAAGGAGCGGTGGGGGAGGGGGAGGGGGAGAAATGTGCTCATGCTCGCGGGTGGGGGAGGGGAGCCTGCTGCTGCTTATGCTGCTGCTTTTGCTTTGGCCAACGTCGCCTCGGGGGTTCTTCTGCTCCCCAAATAATTTGAGAAGCCTTGCTTTTCTTCCTCTTCTTTTGCTGGTGGTTTTTAAAAAAATATCTCTGAAAGATTGTTTTGCTCCTGGCTGGTTTTACCTGCTTTTCTAAGCATGCAGGGTTGCAAACGGGGGGAGGGGGAGAGGGGAGGAGGAAAAAAAAGGCTGTGAAGGTGTCTTTGCAAAACTGCTCCCAAGTGTCGTTGTGGCACAGTTTCTAGACAAGTTTTGCTAAGAAAATAGCCCCCCTTCTTCCTCCCCCCTTCTTCCTCCCCTCCTGTGTGAATATGATAAGCCCTGGTTTGAAAGCACAGAATTTCTTTCCAGTTTATAGAGGTTCCCGGTCAAGGACCTGGAATGTCAGGGAACAGTTGTGGTATTTTTTTTCTGGGGATGTGTTTTGTGGTGATTGTGAGACTCGACTTAAAAGTTGAGGGAAGTGCCCGGCTTTGCAGAGGAATACAGTACCTGCTTGTGTTGTGCCAACCATGTTAAAATATTCATTTTATTATTCTTGTGCCATGTGGAGAGTGAGTGTAAATTAAGTAGTGCCCAGGCAAAATGGATTATCACCGGAGTTTTTAAAGAAAAGCACTCCCACCTCCGAAATGCTACAGAAACGTTCTTAATGATTATATTTTTGTGTCAATGAACCCACAAACAAAATAGTTTGGTCCCCTAATTTGATGTTGAAGAGAACTTTCTTTTTATGGTGTCCCTGAATTGCCTGGTGGAGTTTTCTGACTCTTCCATGTGCTTCACTTCCTCATTTTTGCGTGAGCGTGCTCCTCCTGTAAAGGAAGTTCTAACTGATTTATATAAGAACCAAAACAGTTCTTATTTGCTCTATAAACCTGGGTGGAGGGTGAGTGAACAGAAAACATATCATCTTAAAATTTCAATTTATTTGTGGTCCTTGGCTAAGATTAATCAGATGGCTTGCCTCTGTAGTCTGTTATAATAAAATCCACGAGGCTGCTACAGAGCACATGATAAGTGAGTGGCGTCTCTGTTCATGTTGTGTCAAAGCCATTTATATCACTCAGAGTTCAAAAGTGCAAGGATTGGCTCCGTTAAGTATTTAAAAAGTTCCATTTGCAGACTTTCAGTCCTTGGGGTTTGTAGTGTGGGCATTCGACCCAAGCCTCATGGTTGAGGGGGGCCTCAGTGGTTTTTAGACTGTGATTGCAACATTTGGGTAACTCAGGTGTTCATGGACAGCAACTTCTAGAATCCTGGCCAGTACAGCTGGTGGTGAAGGATTCTGGGAATTGCAGCCCAAGAATAGCTGAGTTACTCAAGGCTGGGAACTACGTACTGGTTTTGGTGAATCCTTCATAAAATTGAAATTTAATCTAGGGTTAGAGGAGGATACTGGTTTTACTGTGATGGGAATCTCAGCAAGCACTCAAAGCAAACCTCAAAAGGTTTCTGTCTTAAATTGATTTGCTAGGTCTGGAGAGGAAAAAATGGGGTCTTCAAGGTGCAGTTCATGTCATGCCTTGGTTTTGGGTATTGATGGATGTGGCAGCCCAACAGTATGTTGTGGACCACACGTTCTCTGCTCCATAGTAGAAGGAAAGTTCAGTTGAACCTAATGGTACACAATTCAGAGTGAATGTTGTGGCTAGAATCCTGTTGGGAAGATCCGTAACTAACAATTTTGTTGTCTGGGATTTTGTAGCCCTTTTGTTTAAATTTGGGTCAAGTGAAATGCACATACTTATGGGGAGAAATAGGGAGTAGGATTTGAGTGTGTAGAGACTACGCTGATTTCATATTGATCCTGATATAAGAAGCTGTATGTGGTCCTGAGATTGTACACATCCCCAGGGAAGATTGATGGGGTTTCCTACAACAAATATGAATGGACAGATCCGCATCCTTCCGGCAGCATTTTTTGTTTGTTTTTTGCAACCTCTCAATTTTAGTATCATGGGTCAAAGCCTCAGTTATCCTGTTTTAGTTACATCTCTTCTGTTTGTTTGCACAGTGGGTTGAGGGCAACCACAAGAGCTATGTGTTTTTCTGTTTATCCATTGTGTGATGGGTCTTCCTCTGTTGATTGTGCAAGAGGCAGTCCAGAAAACCAAAAACTGCTTCCACAAGTGCATGGAAGACAACAGTTGCATTTTGTGCCTTGCAGCCAAACCTTTATTTTATCAGTGGGGACTGTTTGCATGGATACTAAATAATAGACTGATTCTTAGAAAGTTGGAGTATGGGGAAAGTTTGGATAGATTGTTGCTTTGCGGACAGTATGATTTATTTGGTGCATTGACAACACAAAGTACAGTATCAGAGGATTTTATTTGAATGTGTGTTATTACATGTAGAGGCCATGCTGATACTGTGTCCTGAACAGTATTGGTGATGTTAAAATTAGTTGGATTTGATTTGTCCTGGACATAGTGATGACTTGGTGGTGGTTGTTTTCTCCTTTCGTTGTTATTGGATGGTGCATCCTTTTAAATTTGAAATTCTGGGGGATAATTGCCGTGCATTTTTTAAGCAATGAAAAAAAACCCAAATACTTTGGCTTCCTCGCTCCTTTGTTTTCCAAAGGGAGAACTAAGATATAATGAGTTTCGTCCTGTGTTAAGATTGCCATTTGCTACTTTGCAAAACTAAGAAGATCACAACTGTTATATTTCTAGAACTGGAGTCCCCCCCTGTGTTTTTCTCTGTTCTAGAACAAAGTTGTGTAATTATGCAGAATGGTAGTATATTTGTGACTAACAAGACAAAGTATTTTTTCACACAACCTGTAATTGTGTTACACAACTTAATACTGTACCTCAAAATGCTGTTGTGAGTTTAGACAGTTTCTGTACACTTACTTATCAGTGTGAGTCATTTCTCTGTAGTGCGATGTTATTGAGGTGGGGATCATGCTATGGGGAATAATTCTTCCAAAACTTGACTGTTTATTTTAATATTTTTAATATGTCATATGTGAGAGTCAGAATGTAAGACTAGGCCTCCGGAGATTTGTGTTCAAACCCCACTTGATCATGGAAATTCACTGGCGGGTTGACAGTGGTCAAAAGACTCCTTGAATGTTTCACATACCTTGAAGACTCATACATTGGAATCAACATGACATCACATAATAAAGACAATAACACACCTTTTATAGATAAATCTTAGAGGAAGATAGACTCAATACTATTATATTACAATAATTTAAGGTAGTCTGAATATTTTAAAACTATTCAAGAATTGGTTCGGAACCACCTATTAATATCTTCCCATTTCTGGTTTGCCTACACTAGCTACCTGTTGCATCCTGGGTTAGATTCAAGATTTTGATTATCATCTTCAAAGCCCCTCACAGTTTGAGATCATGTTACTTTTCTAAAGGTCATCTACATATACCAGGTCCTCACAGGCAATGATCGTCTGGGTGGCGACTCTGAAGGAGGCCAGGAAATCATCTACCAGAAATAGGGCCTATGCTGTGGCACCAGCACTTTGGAACCAAATCTTGGTGGAACTACTCTTGACTCCTTATCCCCCAAAGTTTAAAAGACTTCTGAAAACATTGCTTTTCAGAGTCCTCTCATTGCAAACCTGCCTGATTTTTTTTAACCTTGTGCCTCATGTTCCACATTTTATTTGCAAATTATACCTCTTGTAGTATTTGTGTTATTGTCGATGTGTTTTAATTTTATGGGTTATTTTTTTATCAGGATAAAAATAACCCATAAAATTAAAACACATCGACAATAACACAAGTACTGCTGCAGGCTAAACCGCAGAAGCCTGTGCTCCAGGGTCAGAAGACCAGCAGTCGTAAGATCGAATCCACACGACGCAGTGG